CCCCCTCCCTCCCTCCTTCCCTTTAACGCATCTTTACTGAGCACCTCCTCTGTGCTGGCCTGGGATGCAGGGATCACAGGGATATGGTCTCTGTGCTCAAAGAGCTTCAGCCAAGAGTATCAGAGTCTTGCTGTAAACTGAACAAAATTTCATTACCCTAATATACACCTTTTTTAGGGCCTGGGCGGCTCAGTGATCGCCCAGGTACACAATAGGCAGGTCTAGGTTTTCTTCTGGGTTTTTTCAGCTTTTGTGGAGATACTGTTTTCTCCAGTGATACTCACTGCCGTCTTTTCTGCTCTCCTGCCAAGTAAATCCTTTGGGTCTCATTTCCCCTGCAGTCTAGAGAAGCAAGAGTTGGCCCCATAAACACGCCTCCAACCCTGTCTTCTCCCTCTGAGGATGCAGAGCTTTCCGGTGAACCTGTACCTGAGGCAGCCCAGGAAACCACCAACATGAGCGCCGTCCCGCACAGCAGCCCCAAGCAAGGCAAGTCCCTGATGCACCTTCATACGCAGTGGGTTTTGTTGAGTGATGACTGGGTGATGTATGTGATAGAGAGCATCTCACTTGAGCTTCCCCTCAACCCCCTGAGGAAGGGACTATAATCACCCTCATTTCCCAAACAAGATGGGGAAATCGAGTCACAGAGAGGTTATGGCACCCAGCCGAGGCTCCACGGCTCCTAAATGGCAAAGCCGATGTTTAATCTTGGATGCCAGAACTTTTAACCCCCAGACTCCACCCCTCCAGAAGGGCCTGGGGTGTGAAAAGCTTGTGATAATTGTGGCTGCTTATTAAATACCTACTGTGTGCCAAGTGTTTACATACTTCCCCTCCAATCCTGACAACATGTCTATTAGTCGCTAGTATTAGCTAGTATTTTACAGATGGAAAAACCGATGCTTGGAAAGGTGAGTGATGTGCCCACAGTCACACAGCTAGTGAGTGGTGGGACTGAGCCAGCGCCCAGGCCTGACTCCAGAATCCCTACTCTTTCCGGCCTTGGCCACAAACTCGCCGACTTTCTGAGGATCAGGCCATCTAAACTCCTGTTGGCACATGTGGGAAACGAACTGATGGCCAAAGAGGGGCAGACACCCAGGAGGTCATTGGCAGGCCCTGGGGGCAGTGCTGGCCTCCTGACTACCCATCCAGGGCTCTCACCCCTGCCCAGCCATACAGAGGAGCCCTGGCAGAAGCCCAGGATCTGACAGGATCCCCCAGGCAGCAGCATGGCCGGAGATTGGCCTGCATTTTCTGCCCTTTATCAAAGGAGTAACCATTCAAACTGAAGTTACAGCCAACACCAGAGCACTGAGATTTAGGTACAAGGTCAAAAACAACCCAGACTGCCCACATTCACATGTACAGCCCTGGAATTGGTGACACAGAAAATTTAATGACCCAGAGACATGATCATGGTGTACTCCACAAGAAAGGCAGCTTTCAAAACTATATGTGTGCTGTGACCCTAAATTTGAATATATGTTATTTATATCTATTTATATATAACCATGTAGAGCACTGTGTGTGTGTGTGTGTGTGTGTGTGTGTGTTAGAATAATATACAACAAAATGCTGTGAGTGGTTATCTCTGGGTGGCAGGATTGTAGGTGGTTTTTATTTTCTTTTGTACTTCGGTATTTTATGTCTTCTAAAATTCTATGTATCATTATTCCTTTTACTTCTGCCCTCAGTAAATGAATATTATTTTAACAACTAAACTTGGGAAGTCTGTGAGAGAAGGTATATAGTACTGAATAGAAAACAATTGTATAATAATTTAATAAAGTTACAATACCAGCATGGAGTCAGGGTGTAGCTGTGGAAAGACCGCTAGATGAGACCCTTTGGACGGAAACCCTGCTCAGACACCTCTTTGCTGTCGGGCGTGGGCAAGTTGCTCAGCATTTCCAAGCTTTGGATTCCTCCGGGCGTCCACTGCGAGCATTCACAACCCCTGCCTCCCGGGCGGATGAGAGGACTGAATGCTGTGGCTGCGGGTGTGGAAGTGGTTTGTGAATTGCACATGCTGCTCTCCTGGGGGTAATTAGGATCTCAGAGCGAGGGGCTAGGAGGGGGCAGAGGCTGCAGGGCCAGGAGGCGAGGGCCTCCTCTAGACTGAGGGGTGAGTGCATAGGAGGCGGGACCCAGCCTAAGCACAGCTCGCCTGTTCCCCAGCATGTGCCAGATTACTTCTGTGGCAGACAGAAGGCCAAGCAGAAACAGCAGAGCTGGCTAGAGATCCTCATTCTTGTTGAGCAGACAGCTCAGTGAGGAGGAAGGGGTTGAACCCCGAGCCCTGTCCCTGGCTAGGGAAAGCCTCCCAAGAGTTTTATCCCAAGGGTCCCTGACACTATCTTGGCATAGGACCTTGGTCACCGCCCCCCCACACACACACACTCCATCCTCCAAGGGGTGGGGACTCAGAGGCCTGGGGTCCCTCTGCCTGCTAGCACAGCACCCCCTGGTGGTCAGAGCAGGGAGGAAGAGAGAGCGGTGAGAGACTGACCACTCCTGGGCGTTTAGTCTTTTAAGTGCATGTGGGCACAGGGTCCCTTGAATAGTTCATCACCTCCCCCTCGACAGTGTCCTTACCATGGGACGTGCATGAGCACAGTGTGTGTGGAAAGGGCTGGCTTCAGGCCCCTCGCAGTCTCTTATGTGGGACCTTGCTCCTCCTCTGCAAAACGGGGTTAATAATCACAAGGTGCTAGTGTGCAGATCAGAGCAGGACACACACTGTAGGGTGATAGTGGGGATACTGAAAACATAGGATTCCTGCCTTGGTTCTGCCCACCTGCTGCGAGGTGGAATGGAGGTGCTTGTGGGTAGGACAGATGGGCCAGCTGGAGATTTCCAGGAGGCAGTGCATGGGATGTGCTTAGCCTGCAGCCCAGCCTGTAACAGGCGGGCATTCATGTTAGTATAATGTCTTTTTCTTTGCTTTAGGACTCCATTTGTTTTTTTAAATTGCAAGAGAAATACGTGCTTGTGGTAACAGTTCAATCAATGCCGAGTTGTATGAATCAAAAGAATAGTTTCCTTTGATGTCATCTGGAAGAAACCAATACTTTTAAGTACTGTGGTTTAGCCTAGTATGTGTGGTTTATCTGCACACACATATATACATAATTATCTATATATTTTATATGTTATATATAATAATATATTAATTATATAATGATAATATATATGATGATAAAACGTGTATTCTCATATATAGTTTTTCTTCCTTTTACAAATGTAGAACCATATTGACAATGAACACTTATCCCTTGCTAACTATATGTCATGCGCTGTCCTCAGTGCCTTTCTTGCATTAGTTTAATTAATCCTTGTAACAGATAATCCTCAAAATGACCCTAGGAGATAGGAATTATGATTCCCTCTTTATAGGCAAGGAACCTGAGCCACAGGGTAAATGTCTTGCCACAGGTCACACTCCTAGTAAGCGGCAAAGCAGGGTTCTCACCCTATAGTTGGTGCCAGAGCCTGTGATTGAAACCACCATGTAATACGGCCTTTCGTTGTCCGGTTTTCTTCAACATTTTTTCCCTCTTAATCCTGTATTATGGACATCTTTTCAAGTCATAGGTGAAGAGAGACCACATTCTTTTTCATTTGCAAAATGCAGTTATTAAGTGCAGAATGCCTGCTTCCTGTAGGGTCTGGTGAGATCCTGAATGACACACTGGAGACAGTTGATACTGTGGATGGTTCCCCCATTACTGACACTGGCTCGGGGGATGGGAACTTCCTTCATGTCACTGAAGAGGTGAGTGAATGGTAAATTTCGTCTGCATCAGTAGTACATTTGCTTGCTTATTTCAGACTTGATGGTGACTTGTGTTGGGCACCATAGAGAGTCACAAGGGTTTAAGCTGAATATCAGGGAGACTGCCTCCCTCCTGCTGGTACAGAGAAGGCAGAAGGCGGGAGTCCCAGGGCCCCAGAGTCTCCCCAGGGATGCACCAGGACAGGGGAGGAGAGGCAGGTCCTCAAACCTGCTGGGAGATGCGTGCTGGGTTCTCAGTCCCTCTTGTTGTGAAGATACACAGCCTCTTCTGCCCTTTGAGCCCCTTCAAGAGAGAATGAGATTAACTGCAGGTGTGCTTGCTCTATTGTTTGGTAATTGGCTTTTACACTTGCAAAGCCAGTTGTTTAAATGCTGGACACAGGGAAGGTGCCAAATTAAAGCAAATTATGTTTCTCACCTGTGGCCTCTGCTAAAAACCTTGTGTCAGCTCATTCTTTCCCGTATCCTGGGGTGAAAGCTCAAGACACTTCTCTCCTCTCCCAGTTACTATCTGGTAACAGCCTATTTTCACAGGTATTTCCAAAATCCCTGCAGCATAATATCAAAAATTCCATAAAAATACAAATATAACCAGGAGCCAGGCAGGGAAGGAAGCATGGTTAGGGATATTTCCTCTGTTTTCTTCTTTCTCCTCCCTCTCATCACTCCCCCCCACCCCGGAAAGTCTGGCCCACCTGGAGAAAACGACACAGTTTTTTTTTTTTTT